TTTAAACAGGCTTTCTAAATAATTTTATTGCAGCTGTCCATGGACTGATCTTTGGGTCCATTGACTAAGTTTTGAAATCAGTCTCAAGGTTGTGGAAGAGACCAAAGTCTATTACCTGTTATTTCTGGACATGCAACTAGCTTACGTTTTTCAGCATATCATGTGGTTAGTTGTGTTCATATAACTAAGTCCAAGGAATACCTCAAAAGAAATGTGAGTCACTTTATAGATTTAGACCATAAAGACCTACCCAGTGAACCTATAACGATTGTTTCCCCTCTGGCAGGCTAAATAAGATGAACTACAAAGTGACCTTGGAAACTCTATGTTGAGCATGGACGTGGGGTTCCACAAGATGGACAAACCAGGTTTCCTGAATACTCATGTAGGAAGCTATCCACTAATAAAATTTCATTTGTGTTAAGCAGCAGTTAGTACCCCATATTTGCTGTTCAATTTTTTAATTATCTTTTTAAAATAACAGCAACATGTAAAAGATTTTTTCCTCTCTTTACTTACTTTTCTGTTGTGGTATTGTCCTAATTTATCAATTGTGGAAACTGACAGGAATTTCAATGCCTATAAGATAGGATGAGTACTTTCCAGATTCCTGCAGCGGCCATAAGAACACTCTGTGTCAGGGGATTGTCCTGTCCTTTAAAGATGAACACTTGCCACCAGGGACCACGCTACATGATCCCAGGGCATCTCTCCTCAACTTCAGAAAGAGCAATAAAGATACACATAGTAGATTATGTTTAGGAAATTCATTAAAATTAATAAAGGATACTATAGTTATTTGGATTCCGAGGCTCTACAAGCATTCATCCTCCTCTATGTGTTATCTAAGTGACACATCATCTATATGTCAAAGCAAGGAGATCAAACCAGGCAATATTAAAGGAAATCAACCCTGAATATTCTTTGGAAGGACTGATGCTGAAGTAAAGCTCCGGTATTTGGCCACTTGATGCATTGGAAATGATTCATTGGAGTCATTTGGAAATGACTTGACTCATTGGAAATGACCCTGATGCTGGGAAAGATTGAAGGCAGAAGGAGAAGAGGATGACAGAGGATGAGATAATTGGATGGCATTACTGATTCAATGGACATGAACTTGGGCAAATTCTGGGAGGTGGTGAGGAACAGGGAAGCCTGGAGTGCTGTCATCCATAGGGTCATGAAGAGTCGGATGTGACTTGGTGACTGAATAACAACATGTGTCGTTTATCTATGAATGACTATGAAAAATTGTTCCCAAGACCACAGTGATTGCACTTCTCTCTGTGCCGTTGCTCTTTGGGATTTTCTTTTCCTTCTCCTCTGCCTGCTACTTCTAAGTGGCCCCTACCTTTATATCAACCCTAATATCCTAATATTACACAGGGCTGGTCCTGAAGGATGTTACTTTGGGAAGAACAGGATGATTTGGAAGACAGTATACAAGGGAGAATAAAAATAAACTAAAAAGTATATTCACAACACTTCTCCTCCCCACTTACAAGTTCTCAGGGTAGCATCTTAAATGCCCTATACTACTTTTTTGTTGTTGTTTTTTTTTTTCCCAGTTCACTCATATTCCCTTAACATTTCTCTGCATCTTTCATTCCTTCATATTTGGCTAATTTGATGTCTTAGGAAGACAGAATTCCTGTTTTTCTTCTTTGGTGTAATTAATCTTCAGTCCTTTGTATACTGAAAAACTAATTTAGCAAATTTCTTGATTTGCTTGTACCCATAGGATGTAAACTAATAGTTCATGTAAATGTACAGTTCACCTTACTTGCTACCAGATAAATTGTTAGTGACTCCTTGGAAGGCTATATTTAGAAAGACTTGAGACCAATGCATAATTCTCAGCAAGAAGGAGCACCCTCATCAGTTAGGGATGTGTTTTCCAGTTGCAGAAAGAGAAGCAATGGCATTCATACCAGGAGTTTTTCTTTCAAAAAAATAAAATGAGTAGGATGAACATTTTTGCTGCAAAAAGAAAGTTCAAAGAAGCAATTCTTTTTGTTTTTAGGAGTGGTAAGGTGTGGTCAGGCCTTCTCAAAGTTAAGAAAGAACTGGTCTTCAAGCATACTTTTGAGATCCAAGTTTATTAAAAACCAGGGGAGTACAAGCCAATAGTATAAATACAATGATATATTTTAAACACTTAAATTTAACAGAATTCTATGAATACCATCTTTCAATCCTGTCAATGTATTCTCATGACTGTATACATAAACTTGTTGGGTGATAAAAGTAGAAGTCTAAATTTGAGATCTTTCATTCATGGAGACTTTGTCAAATGGCCCTTGAATTTAACCATGAAAATAAGCTGTATAATCAGACTGATTTCTTTCCTCCAGTGAAAGACTGGTTGAGAAACATTTGTCAGAAGGAAGAGTGAAAGAATGAAATAGGGAACATCCCAGGCCAATGCCTAAAGCAACTGAAATAAGAGAAAGAAGGTGACTGCTAAACAATGTCAAGATGGAGGCACATGTTATCAGGGGTCCCTGAGACTCCTAATTCCTTAGACTTTTTTTCTCTTAAAGCTTTCTTCTTTGATCTTTTGCCCAGGTCCTCTTTCATCAAAGGGTTGGCCACTCCAGCTGCTAATTTTTAAATTATCTGCTGAATTCTTAATCCCAAATGTTGTCAGTCACTACCAGAGTTTGTTCCTGGAGATATCTCACACCTTATGCTTGATAGTGTGAGAGGCTGTGGACAGAAGTTCTTGACTCATTTAGTGGGCCCCGAAACTAAAACTGGATATCAAATGGCATTGATTTTCTTTCTGGTAACACTTCCAATAATTTGAATAGAGTTCTAAACTTTAGACTCATGATATGGATTAAATAGACTTTTCTGTGCCTAATGGATAATAACCATTATGTACAATATTGTGTCTATGTGAATATATCTGTCAAATTCCAAATAACTGACTTCCAAAGAACATTTACATTGCACCAATTTGTAATTGGTAAACTCATTTCCCTGCTTTCGTTTTTTCAGTTATATAATGAAATTGAATGAAACAGATGTCAGATTCACATCTCCCCAAACACTCATTTTACCAGCTCAGAGAATAAATAAAGAAATGAATTTAATGATGCTAAGTCACTGACTTGGTTACATGCATCCTATCGGATCCTAATAATTTCTCACACTAATGCATCTTTTTCACCTTCATGTTGCTTAAGAGGAGACAGAGCCAAGGAGTGCTTACTAGATTGTCAAAGCAACAAATTTGGCTTGGGTAAGTACCACGAATGGTGAATGCTTACATTAACCTTTCTTGTTTCATATTCTCAATATGTTTTTGATGGAAAGGTGACAAAAAGGAGCTTTTCTCTAAATGTACACCATGATTAGGCCTAGCTAGCATTGCTGTCTGATTTTATTGTGATTTTACTTATGATTTGGAGAACTGAGAAAATGAAGTGCTACTTATGATACAAAATCATCAGTTTAAATCACAAACAACACAATATGATTATGCATAGTATAGAGCTGTATGGTAACAGTATAAAATGTCCACAGAAAGGGTATATGATGATATCAGGCTATAGTTACTTCTGAGAAGGTGAAAGAATGGGATGCTGGAAGAGGCTTTTGTTGTTAGCTGTACTTAGTTTTTAAAGATGAGATACAAATATGAAATACATTAACATGTTTGTTTTATTTTTTTGTATACTAAAATATTTTATGTATGGTTTTAAAAATATAAGATTTCAAAGTCCTAACAAGTCCTATTAACTTTTTAAAAACTTTTAGGCAGTAACTATTATATGTGAACTGAATCAGTCAGTTACTTAATTTAGGTTTAAAAAAAAATCCTATTCACTTTTTGGATCTAATTGTGAGTTGAGTAACCTAACTTTGACACTGTCTTACAATTTTGACTCTACTTCATCTCCCTTAACAGAATTACATTTGTTACTTCATGTAAATTTATAAATTTAGAATATTAATTTTAATATTTATCTTAGGGTTTTAAAATTTAGAAATAAATAATTTTATTATGAAATATACATTTTAGGGCTCTTCTTCATGTTTCATTATATCAGGTAAGATGACAGTGAGGGTGATGAAAGTGAATTGTCACAATTATCTCTCTGCATCATTGTAGAATAGCTCTCAGTTAGATTCCATAAGGGAATTATGGTTATTTAGAAAAAAATCTGAAAAATCCATGAAATGATTTTCCGTTTCTTTCCTTGAAAATAGACCTTTGACAATTTAGAAAAATTATCTTAAAGTATGAAGAACACATTAAAAATTGGTTCCTTACCTTCTGAGGACAAAAATTATAATAGAAAATAGAATTAATACAAATATTATCCTTTTCATTCATATAAATGATGATCTTTATAGAGAGCCTCCAACTTCTAATTAGACAAAAACATTTAATGTTAGTTGCTCAGTTATGTCTGACTCTTTTGCAACCCCATGGACTGTAAGCCCACCAGTTTCCTCTGTCCACGGAATTCTCCAGGCAAGAATACTGGAGTGGGTTGCCATTTCCTTCTCCAGGGGATCCTCCTGACCCAGGGATTGAACCTGGGTCTTCTGCATTGCCGGCAGGTTCTATACCATCTGAACCATGTATAGTCCATAGAATTCTCTAGGCCAGAAAACTAGAGTGGGTAGCCTTTCCCTTCTTTGGGGGATCTTCTCAACCCAGTGATCAAACCCAGGTCTCCTGCATTGCAGGCAGATTCTTTACCAACTGAGATATCAAGGAAGGCTATCTGAGCTACCAGGGAAGCCTCAAAACTTTCAAGGACTAAATAAAAGATGTTTCAGACAAAAATGAATCACATTCAGTCTTGAGATCTAGTAAAATGGTATTTTCTTTGTTAAAAAAGAAATTTTGATTCCAAATGTAACAAAGCATGTTCAAATGCAGATTTGCATATAACAATGCATATAATTTAAATGAAAGTCATTATCAGAATTCCACTGATTTAGTACATTGCTGTAAGCAACTGATCAACATCCACACTGATTTAATAAGAGATTTAATTGCATGTGGTCTGTGTGAGATAACACAAAAAGAAAACCAATTAGAGCAGTTACCAACATCTTCATCATTATGGTTATTTTTATCATAATGATGAGTAAAATTGTTTTAACTCCTCACACATTGGAACTGCTTTCATCTCCAGTACCTCTCAAATCTCACAGTCATCTTTACAGTGGGTAGAACTTGTGTGATTTATTCTCCCTAGAGTTGGAAATTCTGACACAGAGAAAGCTTTTGACATAGACATCAGAAGGAGGATGGAGAGTGCCCCCCTTACTAGTCTTAGCAAGGAAGCTGTATACTTTTTTAATTAGTTATTACAATAAATCAAAAGAGTGTCTCAAGGTTGTAAAGATCTTACCAGACTCACTCCCACAATTTACATTTTAAGGTAACAGGATCAGTCATGTTTTCAGGAAGGAGAAGCTGTCCTCGAGCAGGATGAATTGTTACATAATTCTTAGTACAGAGTTTAAGCTGAGTTGTTTTGTTGTGTAATCATCAGCTCTGGGCTTAAATAAAAAGTTTTATGTGACTAAGGCTAAGGAATGCAGGGGCGGGGGGGAAGACATTTGTCCTTTCCTCCTCCTCGAGCATTCCAGACCCCTATCTCCTCCTAGAGAGTCCCAGACCCCTTTCTCCTCCTCGGACCCCAGACTTCTTATCAACCTGCCTAGGAATTGACTCTCTCACCAGTACCAAAAATAAGAGTTGTCTCATCTCAGGTGGCATTTTTAAGAGATGGACACAGAAGGATCCATTATGGGAGAAAAAAGTCAGGAAGATGTGTTGTGAGCTCAACAATGGAATGGCTTAACCTAAGATGATTCCCCAGAGATCTCTAGTGTTTGGTTAGAAACTGCCCAGATGACATTAAAACAGATGGAGAACTATATATCTTAACTTATTATTCTGAAGACATTTGAGTTGTTATGAAAGAGAATGTTATAATAGATTTACATGTATCCATGACCAATTCTTCCTCTACATCCCCCCACCCTCTCCCCGTATAACCAATAATATATTGTTTTGAAGCTATATAATATATTATGCTATGTTAGTCCTACACATCATTTCATTTAGGAAAATGCAAGAATACTTTATGAGATAAAAATAAGTCCATTTGAATTGAATGTGAATTTAAGTAGAAGAAATTATTATTTGTTTAAAACTGGTGGGTTTTTTTGAGGTTTACTTCTTTTCATATTCCTGGAAGAATTTGTCCCCCTTCTGTGTAAATAATACATTCTACCTGAAATTTCATAGTCTTATAAACTCTCCCTGAGACCAACCAAAATTATTGTACATTTTCTTTTATCTGATGTTGCTGTTGTTCAGTTGCTTAGTTAGCTCCTTATGACCTCGTGGGCTGTAGCATGCCAGGCTCCTCTGTCTATGGGGTTCTCTAGGCAAGAATGTTGGAATGGGTTGCCGTTTCCTTCTCCAGGGGCTCTTCCTGGACCAGGGCTAGAACCTGTGTCCCCTGCTCTTGCAGGTGGATTCTTTACCACTGAGCCTCCAGGGAAGCCCAAGTTTTGGTAGATGACTGCAGTAAACAGATGATCATCTTACCATTTTAATGGAAAGGATTCTTATTAGCAAAAGAGACTCAGTTTTAACACTGCCTGACACAACCAACTTTGTGATCTTGAGCAAGTCAGATATTTTTTATGGCTCCTTTGCTGTCACTAATAAAATAAATGGTCAGATTACCTCTAACATACATATATAGCATGGTATTCAACTCTTCTGTGTTATTCTGTCTCTGAAGTACTTCACGTCTTACTTCCATTATACACATTCACTATTTTGAAGCCACGAATCTGTGTTCAACTGTGACTCTTACCTTGTTTAAACCCTACACATGGTAAGACTGATAAATCTAGTAAAGGAGTAATGATGAATAGAATGTCACTAGTAATTATAGTGGCAAATCAGTCTTTAAGGACACAACTTGAACACTGAAAGCAAAACCATTATATTGATGTGGTCTATAGTGTTATATAACTTGAGCTCTCTTGAAATTTGGGTAAAAAGCAACCCTTGTTAATTTCTCTGGTAATAGCTCATGGTAAACATTTGTGGCATATACATTTTTGAGGTTGATATGGGCTTTTTTCTTCCTTTTAAATAGACATTTTCAAATTATTCTCACTGCTGAAATCCAGTGTGAAATGTAAACATTAATAATATGGAGAGATTGGGTTTTAGAATTACTTTTAGAGATTGTTTTTAGAATATATTGGTTTTAAAGCACCTATTCTGTGTTATAATGCATATAAGGAAAAGCCACCTATTGCCTGAAAGTTATTTTAGGAGAGAGGCTCAGCAATGAGTTATAATGTCACCTCTGATAATGAAAGCTATAATGCTTCCTGAAGGACTTTGAGCATTCATTTATTAAATATTTATTTAGCAGATATCAAAACATTGAAAAGAAATATGAAACATATTTTCAGTGCCATAAATAACATTAGCTTTCATTCATGTTAGTTCTACTTGAACTAGTAATCATTTACTGCAAAAATCATTACATTTTGCCATATTTTCTATATGTTTAAGAGTCCTAAGGCCAAACCTTATTTCCCCAGAGTTTAGTGAAGCCGGAATTTCTGAAAATACTTTGTTCACCTACAAGCAAGTACTCCATAGAGGAGAAATGCTTCCCCTTGAAAACAATAGAAATCCATGAATGTACACAAATACATACATGCAAGCATGTACACACACACACACACACACATTTCTAACTGCAATTCATTTGGACAGTGCTTTTGTCTATAAAGAGAGAGCAAGGATATACTTTGGAAAAAATATTCTTGGTCTCTGACTTTAGCTTGTCTCTACCATCCAGACATGATACATTGCACTCAAAGGAATCACTAGGTAACCTTTGAGAGATTTGAGGGTGTACTAAAACAGTTATTTGGGTAAATATAATACTTTGAGCTTCTTTAATGTAATTTAAATTATAGAAATGTAAGGTATGGCCTTAAAATTTTAGCATAAGGTGGAATTTTAGGCCTCTTGAACATTTGTAATAAGGATTTAAAAGACTTAAAATCTCTTAAACTTGAATACACGGACTTGAAGAAAAAGACTTTTGCATCAGATATATGTGTTATCGGTCAGCTGCCTTAATGAATTGCATCTTTGATATGATTTCTTATATAATTTATAAAATTATTTTAGCTTTGGGTATAGAAAATTCCTCTTTCAAAAATATAACTTTAGACTGAACCTAATATGTAACAAAAGTGAAGAATTATTTTTAAGAAAATGATGAAACCACCTTCTTAAAAAGCAACGTGGACTTATATTTACAAGATACATTTTTAAAGAAACCCTTTATTCCAGTTATTTCCTTTTCAATTATTATGCTTAATAGTGTTAAGTGCTACAACCTTGTAAAAGTGATACTACAATTTATATTTATTTCTAATGGGCCTCTGGCTGGATTTTGGCTTTGTTTGGGGTCAAAGCCAGTTTGTTCTTAAGGTGAATTCATTCTGATGCTTGACACCCACACTCCCTTGTCCATCGGAGCCCTACTTCTAAAGGTTAGTGTACCATCTAGTGACACAGAAACTAACAATTAAGAGTGGGCTATACAGGAAGATTGTTAGTATTTTGAGTGGTAAGAAAAGCCACAGTCATTTTGTCTTTGAACTTTGGATGCTGAAATCTTCCTATGGAACATGGCCACATCTAGATAAATATCAGCTTTTTTTCTATTAAAGTTATTTCCAGTGTCTGTTAAAACGCTTTCTTCCATAGAATGTTTCTGGCCCATATTGGCCTGTAAAACATGTATTTGGAATAATATTTGGAAAAAAAGTATAGTTTTTTCAAAATAAAAAAGATCATATCAAAGATGCAATTCATTAAAAACAGTGTATCTTATAACTCACATTTGAAATATCTCCCTGAACTTTAACCCAGACTTTCAGGTAATGAGAATGCATTAAAACTCTCTGAATATAAGAACTATTAATCACTTTATCACTGAAATAACTTGAGGGGAGCATCAGAAAGATTTTTTGAGAATGACATAGTAAATTGTGGCAAACAAGTGACATCTTTTATGATATACATGAAAATTCTAAAATATTTATTTTATAAGAATAGCGAGAGAATTAGTAGATGACAGTGTTGAGGTATCCAGCTCCAAACCTGAACTCACAACCCTTGGCTAAGAAGTCTGAGTTACTAAAAAATCCACACCTTCTCTAAAAATCCATTGTGTACAGAGCTTTGCCAGAAAAAAACTCTGTCATGTTAAGCGTTTGGTGCAGTCATAGCAATACATTTATGGTGGCTTTATGAGTAAGGGTTAAATGACAAAGCTAAAATCTGCTCTAACCCTCTGTGTCTATCAAGCATCTAGAAATGAAAAATTGATTGTTGTCAACTAGTGGCAAATTGGGCTTCCCAGGTGGCTTAGACCATAAAGAATCTGCCTGCCGTGCAGGAAACCTGGGTTTGGTCCCTGTGTCAGGAATTCCATCCTGACCAGGAATGGCAGGAATTCTCCATCCCCTGAAGAAGGGAATGGCTGCTCTCTCTAGTATTCCTGCCTGAAAAATCCCATGGACAGAGGAACCTGGTGGGCTATAGTCCATGGTGTCCTAAAAAGTCACACAGAACTGAGCAACTAGTACACACACAATGGCAAATTGCTTTGAGTAAATAATGTCACTTTTTGATGACTACTTTTTCCCTCACGGGGCTTATAAGACCTTGCATCTATCAAGCTTTTCGTCATTCTTAATCCCATTTACACCATTTTCCCTTTGTTGCCAGTATTTTCTTACCTCCAAAACATTGTTAAAATGAACATGGAGAGCCGACTACAATCCACTAAACAAAAGGCAATAAATAGTCTGAGGGAAATGTGTTCCAGGTAAAACAACCTCATTTCCTTGGACTTGATACATCCTAGTACAGTTACTAACTGTAGAGCTAACTGCCAGCTTTGTTTATTTCATTAAGTCCTTGAGTTAATTGAATTGCTCACCCTGAAAATAACTTCAGTTGACCATGGACTGGTGGACAGGCTGAACATGCTTTCAGCAAATTGCTTAAAGAAGACCACCTGTATAGCTTCAATAGAAAATAATTAAAATAATGAGAAAAAACTTTAAATTGAAAGTTAAAAATCCACATTATGAAATAATTGAGAAGGGGTAAGGGAGGTATAAATCCTCTTTCTAGAGCTTCTCCCTCTCAGTCTACTGACAGTTACTTCAGCCTGTCGATTCTTGCGTGTGCATGGACACTCCTTAGGAAGGAACTAGGAAAATACCCCAAATTCAGCTGGATGATACCATGTTTTTACTTTCTTTCTCAACAGTGATATTCCTTTCTCAGAAAAGGGAAGATTAGAGCCAAGATAATGAAACTACAGAGGGTAAATGGCATTGCAATGCCATTTTTTAAGAAAATGTATTTGGTCTTCATTCACAGCTCCTGGCTCACAGTTCCTGAAACCTAGGAGTTGCTGAAGTGTCAACGTGATAAAGGTGTCTGTGGCACATTTTTCTGTAGCACTTTATGTTAGCCAGGTGACTTTTGAAAAACACCTTTGAAAGGGGGCTTGTTCCCAGGAGAACCAACTTTCAGTTCCTAGATAGCTAGGGAAAGGAAAGGGCCTGGAGGTTGAGTCAGTTGTCAACAGGCAATGGTTTAATCAGTGGTGATTATGTAATGAAACCTCCATAAAAACCCACGAGGACAGGGTTTAGGGAGCTTCTAGGTTGGTGGACATTCAGAGGGACTGGGAGAGTGGCTCCCACAGAGGGCATGGAAGCTCTGTCTTTTCCCCTGCCTTCCCCTGAGCCTTCCTTTCACCTGACTGTTCTTGAGTAATATATGTTTATTCTAAACTGGTGGACATTCAGAGGGACTGGGAGAGTGGCTCCCACAGAGGGCATGGAAGCTCTGTCTTTTCCCCTGCCTTCCCCTGAGCCTTCCTTTCACATGACTGTTCTTGAGTAATATATGTTTATTCTAAACTGGTGATCTTTCTCTGAGTTATGAGTCATTTTAGCAAATTAGTCAAACCCAACGAAGAGGGTGTGAGGACCTCGGATTTATAGGCAGTGCTCAGAAGTACAGGCAGCAACATGGTCTTGCAACTGACATCTGAAGTTGGTGGAGTGAGGGGGGCAGTCTTATAGGACTGAACCCTTAACATGTAGAACCAGATGCTAACTCTGAGAGATAGTGGCAGAATTGATTTGAGCTGTAGGATATGCAGCTTGTGCCTGAGAATTGCATGTTGGTTTGGGAGAGCCTACATACACACATGCGCAAACATACACACATTGAAACTGGGTCCAGGAACCTAATTTGTTTATACTAAATCAGGTCAGTGGTTTTTACCTAGCCCTTGTATTTTCAAAATGTGGGATGTATATTCTTGGCTGTATCTGAAATTGACAGCAAAAGACATGGCATTAAATAACAATGACTCACATATTGAGGAATATTCAATTTTCTATTCTTTTAATCTTTTGATTGGCCTCAGAAGTAGACCTTGTGTTCTTTTTTTTTAATATAAAGTTAACACTCCTTTAATAATTGCTAATTTTCCATTATAATAATGAGAACAGACATCAGCTCAGAATGTCCTTCTGAGGCAACAGGCAACAGCATACAGTTAGAATTTAATACTTCAAAAGATAATTATTTTAGTTACAGTTTTCTATTTATTTTATTGACTATACAAAATCTTCCAAATAAATAGTTTGGATACAGAAGAACTGGATAAAGAGTTAAGACTATGTTGACTTTTCCAAAGTGTTGACTTTTTAGTATATGAAATATGAATAATATCCTAAAAAATTGAAGCTACCTTAACCAATATTAATTATTTCTTAGCTGGAAACTCTCTTATATTATTTTTTGAGGCTAGAAGTGAATATTTTTAAAGTCTCGTTCCAGTTAAAAACATCAAGATTTGTAACTTGTATACCCAACGTCCTAAACTTATGCCTATCTGGGACTAAATACTTAAAAGTCATCCCTCATTTACTTTCTTCAACTGTTAGCACTTCCCAATGTGTCAGCTAGTTGAAGTGTCTTTAAGAAGAACAAAGAAGTTGGGACTACTGGAAATAAGGAATAATTCCATTCATTCAGTCAGTAATTTTTTTCAAGTAGTCAGTATTTATAAATCTTTTATCTACCAGTTTTATGTTATAAAATTAACTCAAAGTAAAATATGACATATGATTTCCAGACTGTAGTTGTAAAACAAGCTCATTGGTTTCCAAATATATTTTGCTTTTTTTCATTAAAAAAAAATTTATTTAGCTTTTAATTTAAGAATAAGTGCTTTACAGAATTGTGTTGTTTTCTGTCAAACGTCAGCATAAGTCAGCCATAGGTATACATATTGTTTGTCAAGGAAAGCTATAAAAAAACCTAAATATCAGAGTTTTCCCTGAGGGACGTTCCGTATCTAAGTGCATAACTCTCCACGATTTCCTGTTTATCATACCTGAACCCTCACTAGTGCACCCATTCTCTTCCCTCTAAAGGCATTGAACTGATTATTCCAAGTTTAGAATAGATTGGAGAGTCTTTGTTTATGAATTCCTTGTTTAATTAAACAGATTGAATAAACTGTTCTGCACAGAGCACAGGTTCTGTGGGAACTAGTAGAAGGGCCTCCAAGCGATCTTGGTGTAAATTAAGAGTGGGATAAATTTTGAGAAACAGGTAACTGTTGTCCCAGTGAGAAAGAAAATAAAGGGAAAAATGTTCCCCAGGCAAAGGGAAGAACACATAAAAAGACATTGGAGCTAGAGGCAGATAATGTTGCAGCAGGGCACATAGTAAAGCTTTATGAGAACAGAGAGGCAAGAAATGAACTCTGAAGGAGAGAGTCTGAAGCCAGATTAAGTAAGGCCTTTTATACCTTAATAAGAAGTTTGGAACTTATCTTTAAAATAGAGGGTGGGTACTAATGGTAACCCATATCTTCCCAGGCAATAGTTAGCTTGAAGGTAATCAAGGGTTTGATAATGACAATATCTACTCCTCTGGGTCCAGCCCTAGTCGTTTGCAGAGCCAAGTTCCCCTAATCCTTCATTTACTTGTTGATCCTGCATTAATTTCATACTCCTCCTGGGCATCTGTTCTCTTGGGCTTCTTTGGCTTAAAGTGGCATCTATCCCAAGGGAGGGGAGACATTCCACACAACTAAATCACATATCCAGGCCTCTAAGCTGCTCCTTCACACCAAAGCCCTGGAGGAGCATTACAAAGATTAATTAAAGCTCAAAGTGACTGGGATTCCCACTTTTCCTTCTCTTTCTCTATTTTTCTTCCTATTTTCTATCCTACCTGTTACTCATGGAGGACTAGAAGGATTTTTACTCTATTTTTGTAATCAGCTGAGTGCTCTCCCAAGGTACAGCATTCCAAAAATTGAATTGGGGAAAAAATAAATGAGCGTGCTGTCAAAATCAAAAGAGGTAATATGCTCCATTATAAAATAAACTATTCAGAATATCATTTATATGTTTAAATTATTCATTACAATGACAGAAAATTAAGGTGATTATCTTCCCCCTGTGGTGCATGTCATGTTTCTCACAATAGGGGGAAAATAGGACAGTCAGTTCTTTCTGTGTCAGGAGTGAATTGTTTCTTCTGTTAATGGGTTTAGTGAAATTTTATAAGCGGTTGCACTGAGTTTAAGCACCCTAAATAAAAGATTAATAAGAATTAGGAAAACTGTCTCTTATGAGTACACCATCACAGCTCCAAAAAATCTTCAAAATGTATGAGCTTCTTTGTCACTTTAGAATAATATTTCATTTGTGTTAATTTAATCTGTTTCCACTTCCTGGTTTAAAATCTGTCATTGGTTCTTCATAAACTTCAAGATAAACATCAACTCTAACCAAGACATATAAAGTTGTAATGACTCATTCATTCATTGATTTAGCCATTATTCAACAAGTAATCATTGAACAACGCATATATCTTGCTCTTTACTAGTTGCATTCCCCTTTTGGTTTCTACTTAGCTTTCAGTCTTTTCTCCTGCCATGTTCCCACTTACACTCTGTATGATGGCCATCCTGATCTGCTTGCAATTTCTAAAACAGGCTCAGCCTAGTCACACTTCCACATCGTCCCTGTCTTATTCCCATGCCAAGAAGGCCCTTTACAGCTCATCTTTCTAGCTCAGTGTTTCAACAACATATCTGGTCTTCAAAATCATATGAAAGATTTAAAAAATACATTCCAGATATCCAACCTCAAAGATTTGGATTCAGTATAACTCTAGTGGGACCTGAAAATCTTATATTTATAAAAGAATCACAGGGGATTGAGATAATCAGGGTAATTTAGAAACAACTGACCAATTAATATCACCTTACTGTTAATGGTTAACATAACAACACTAGTTGATCTCATCAGTTTGCTTATGTGATCCTATTATGTATTCACTAAACAGCATTTGTACTTGTCAAATTATACTCACGCTATTCATATTTTAGTTATTTTCTAGATTGTAAGCAGTTTGAGTATCTTTTTCATTCTTTATTCACACGATAAGCAGTGTCAGGCATGCATAGGTCTAGATCAATGTTTGCTGAATAAATGAATGAGCCTAAAATCAATTATTTTCATTTATATTAAGGATACCTTGAAAATAGTGAAGACTTTTCAGTGCCTAGATAAACACTACTAGCTTTTGTGGCTTAGAAGTACAATTCCCATTGAGCCATACCATTTAATACACTATAAAGTATTATATGTATAATAACTTTATGTATAAAGGAACATATGATGAACTACAAATCAATGAGAAAAGGACAGTCATTTCAAGACTAATGGTATAAGGGAACATGCTATGTGCTAAGTTGCTTCCATCATGTCCAACTCTTTGCAGCCCTATGAACTGTAACCCACCAGGCTACTCTGTCCATGATATTCTCCAGGTAAGAATACTGGAGTGAGTTGGCATTCCCTCCTCCAGGGGATCTTCCCAACTCAGGGAACAAACCTGTGTCTCTTGTTTCCTATATTGGTGGATTCATTACAACCTAGTAATAAGAGAAATAACACATTAAAAAGTCACAG